ATTGATGTTGAAAAGTAATCTAGATCATTTATATAGTTTTATTTTTCAGTGGTATAATAGTTTATTTCTTCAACCATAGTACATGTTTGGTTTGTCTGTCACATAATTGGTGGTTCCCTTGCTTTATGGAAGAACAGATGTTAGTATCAGATTAAAGAGCATACATGTCCATAGAGGGATGGACTCATCTAAGAAACACATGAGAGTAGTGCCTACTGTTAACCAGGGACTGAATGAACGAGTTTTACTCCTCTTCCCAGGAAAACTTTTAAGTTGTTTTTGACTTTGTTGTCATGTTTGTCATTTTCCACTTTCATCGTTATCAAGTTTTTTTTGAATTGCTAAAATATACAAGTGGCTTTGTGCTAAGATGAACATTTTAGAATTTGTTCTTTCAACTGTTGCTTTCTTACCCACACACATGCCCCTTAACCTGAGGCTAATTCATTATGCTTCCTTCTCAATATGAAAATTTTCTTGTTCTTTCTTGTTCAAATGTTGAAATTGCAAATTTGAATACCTAATATAATCCCCAAATTCTGTCTTCACTAATAGGAATAACTTGGCTTCATATGGTTGCTTTCATGTGAATGACTATTTAAAAATGGACGATTGGTGGGGTGGGTGTATAGCTTATTAGTAGAGTGCATGCTTTCAATCCCCAGTACCTCCATTAAAAATAAAAATAAATAAGGACAATTGAGGTGGCTATACAAATTTCTATTTCTCTTTCTTTACTAATTGCAGTTTACTTCCCTACCTTGTGATAGCTTAAATCAAGGATGTGGCTAATTTTAAGACTGGTAGAGGCAAGGAAACAATGAGAGAACTGTTAGCCACAGTTGTTCAAGGGTCAAAGAGCCTTGGTTTTCCTCTGAAATGAAATGACTCTTCAGATGTTGCTGTACATAGTACCTTATCATCTCCTTATAATCTTTCTTGTTAAGAGTCTCAAGGGGTGGGATGTTCTCTTACCTAGGGAGAATGCTTTCATATTTGTTTCCATTTCTTGGGATCCAACCTCAATGACTAGGAGCTGGGAAAATACCTGTTGTCTTTCTTAGGAAGTGCTACTTAGGAATACTAGTCGGTTGGGGGAAGAAAGAGCCAGGTAGTATGTGTTTCTTGATGATGGTGGTGAAGATCTCTAGTAAATTTAAAATATTATGGTATTTTAGGTATCATATAAGTTAAGTAGAATTATGTGGACTATACTAAGTACATAAATCTGGTATTATTAAATTCTTCCCATGGAAAGTACTAAAAAATCAACAAATTTAGAACAACACATTTATACCTTGGGAACCATTTATATTTTAATTGGTAAATGCAGTGTCTGCATGGAAGAAGAGTTATTTCTCAAACTGGTTCTAATGATTGAATCTGGGAGACACTTCACAGGGGCTCATTTAGTCTCTTGTGTGTGTGTGCTTGGAAATTTTCATAGTAGAAAAATTGTATTTTATAATCAATTTTATTCTTATCTTATATTTTCTTTCTTTATTAGTTGGCATACTTAGGATTTCTGATGCTTTATACATTTGTGGTTCTTGTACAAATGGAACGATTGCCTTCAGTTCAAGAATGGATTGTTATCGCTTATATTTTTACATATGCTATTGAGAAAGTCCGTGAGGTAAGTCTTTAGTTTTTCCTACTAGTAACTCAGTGTATATATGGAGGGTTTTGTGTTGTTTTGGTTATGTGTGTGGGTATGTGTATGTGTTAGAATTTCAGTAGGTGATCCTATTGAAGTGTAGAACATGTTTGTTTTTGCTGTCCAAAAATGATAATCAAAGAACTGAGTTTAGTGGGTTAACTTTGTCACAATTACAGAGATAATGATTTGTCTCAAAAACTAGATCTGTTTTTGTTTTAGTTCCTCAACATTCATATTTATGTTCTTTGCCACTCTTAAAAAGTATTAAATATACATATAGCCAATTGGGTAGGTAAATTATAAGTAGGTTCTTATTTTGCTCTTGTGTTGTACTTCCTCTGAAGTGTACTGTATTGTCCATTGAATTGTCATTTAGATTTAGATGCCTGTGTCTATCAAGAGTTTTCAACTTAGATTGTAAATTTTCTGATACCCTGATTTTGTGGAAAAAAACTTTTTTTCTTTAATTTTTATACTTTCTGTTTAAACTAACAGTTACATAAATGTTGTTTTATTACACACTTATGTAAATATGTCTAAATTATTCCATACCTCTGCTTTACATTTAGAGAATACATGAAATCGCAAAAATAGATAGAAGGCATTGAATTCCCTTCCCACTTAGATATAGGAATTTATCTTATTAAACAGCTTATTATGCATTTTAAATTCCATTGAGTGCCATGGCCTGTTAAATCTGTTGTTTTACTAACATGTTTGAAGAAATTAAGTTGTTAAATGATAAAAGCAGGTTGTAAAGAATATTGTAAAATACATATTGATAAAACAGTTCTGCAAGGATTCTTTAGATAGTAATAAAAGTGGTTGCCTCTAATGGGAAGGGGAATTAATTGGGTAGGGAAAAAGAGTGGAAGGGAGACTCTTCAATATTTACTTTAGTGGGAATGTATTACCATGCCCCACACAAAAAAAATTCGTTAAAATTTTTATATTAAGCAGAAGAGCTAAAGTGTAGCTACTTAAACCATTGAGTTGTTTACTTTCTGCAAATAAGGCATCTTTAGAAGATCCTAACTGGATATCCTAATGTTGTTTCAATGCAAAATAAAGCAACTTTTCCAAAGTATCTCAAGTTCCAAGTCTAGAGAACTTTATTATAATCTAAGATTTTCATCTTCTTAGTTGGATGACCTTGGTTAAGCATGTCATTTATTTGTGGATTTTTTCCCTATATATACAGGGAATGAGGATAAGAAGTATTTGTCTGATATCGTATTGAATTGTTTTGGTGATTAAATGCCAAGATAATCAAAAATACTTTGAAATATTAAAAGATATATAAAACTACTGTGATATTACAGTTGAATTCTTGCCTGTGTTTTAACAGGAAGAAATTGATTAAACCTTTTCTTCTTTTAACCTTTAGATCTTTATGTCTGAAGCTGGAAAAATAAGCCAGAAGATTAAAGTGTGGTTTAGTGATTACTTCAATATCAGTGATACAATTGCCATAATTTCTTTCTTCATTGGATTTGGACTAAGATTTGGAGCAAAATGGAACTTTGAGAATGCATACGATAATCATGTTTTTGTGGCTGGAAGATTAATTTACTGTCTTAACATAATATTTTGGTATGTGCGTTTGCTAGATTTTCTAGCTGTAAATCAACAGGCAGGACCTTATGTAATGATGATTGGAAAAATGGTAAGTTGAGAGGCTTCTGATAATACTTTCGGGTTTACTGATATTTTTTCTTACAACCATAAAAATATGTTCATATAGTTTTACTTGAACCAGAAATGATATTTCTTGTTTATTTGCCTCATACTCCAAATAGACTATTCCTAAGGATATTAACTTTTGAAGAAAATATTTGATGGGATAAGGTTAGGAAACCATACTTTGTTTTATCTTGAAATACTTTAATTTTTAAATGCTGCTTGCCAGGACTATTTGAGATCAGAGTGAAAAATATGAACTTGTCAGCTCAGTCTGAATTTCTTTTCATCTTTACTGCTGCTACCCAAAAACAATCTATCATCATCTGGCACCTGCAGTAGTCTAGTAAACTGTTTACTCAGCCACTCTGGCCTATCTTCAGTCTTTACTGTAACTAGAGTAATATTTCAAAATGCAAATTTGAATATTTTATTTCTCTTTCCAAAAGAATCTTTCAGTGGTTTTGCATTACTCCCAGAGATCAGTGTCCTAATAACCCACAAGCCCTGCTCACTTTGGCTGTTGTTTTCCTTTCTTCCTCCCTCTCTCTGCCTACCTTCCTTCCACCTTTAAATTTTGAGATAATTAGATTCACGTGCAGTTGTAAGAATACAGAGAGATCCTGTGTGCTCTTTACCAGTAGTAACATCTTCCTTGCTTTCTTTTAAGTCTCATCTCTTAGCATTTTTGATCTCTTATCTGTATGCTAGTCACACAGGCCTTTGTTTTTAACACAGCCCCTAACAGAGACCCATAGTTCATGTTCTTCTTTCTGCCTTAAAAGGGTCACCTTCATCTACACTCATATCCTTAGCTTTCTAGAATAATTAACTTAATTTTATGCTTCAGATCTTGCCTTCAGCAGGATTTTTTTTTTCAAGGAAGCTTTTTTGATCTTTTCCAACTAGATCAAGTTATTTACTATGTAATTTAGTGAGGCCCATGTTCTTCCCTTCAGAATGTTTATCTCTGTGTCTAGCTGTATTTTAAACTACATTCTTATTGAATTATATTCTCCTCTAGACTACAATCCTTGGAGTAGGAAGATCTTCTGGTTTTGGTCACCTTTGTATCTCCAGTAGTTACCACAGTGCCTGTCGTATAGTAGATTCTCCTTAGTAAATATTTGTTGGTTGGATGGATAAAGCCATTTCAAGTAGGAAAAAGACAGCATAAACATACTGAACGTTAATTGTATTTTAATAGGTTGGTTCTTAAGATTTTTTCCTCTTCTTTTTATATCCTTAAGCAGCAGATTATAAATTTAAAAAACTGTAATCATTTACCAAGTAGTTTTTAATGTTTATTATAGTCTCACTACTGTGCAAGACAGTGCAACAGGTGTTAGGATATTGCCCCTGAATTTTGTGAAACTGCATTTCTTTTTTTGACTTCTTCAGTCCTGTAGTTATTTTTAATAGTTGCATAATCTAGCTTGAGGAGCCTATCCTACATAAATTATTTTAGGAAATTATAAGAGATATTAGTAAACTGTCAGTGTGGTTTGTTGATTAATGACTATGGAATATAGGGATTCATGGAAAGACAGAAGTCTGGAGGTTTTTTTTTTTTTTAAGCTATAGGATGTGAGCTGTTCTTTGAAAACTTGAGATGGATAGGAGTACAAAGGCACAGCCTGACTGGAGCTTCTTTTGTGATAAGGTACAGTTGGTTAGCAAATTGGATAGGCAGGGTGTAGCTTGGAGTATATAGAACATTGAAAACTGGGACTTGAGAGAAGAAGAATATAGGGGAAACCGTTGAAGAGTTTTCCCCCCTTATTTTGATTTTTCATTACCATGAAAGGAGTAAGTTGACATTTCTCAGTCTTTCCTTATTTTGATGTGACTTTTCAGTGTATAGATTTTGAAAGCAGCTAGTCAGATTATTCGTTATGATGATTTTTGACCAGTGGGGCAGTCTGAAAAAGTCTCACAAGGGTTTCTAATGCTCACATCCAACCTACCACACTAATATTGCCCCTTTTTAATGTTCTTTGCAAGATAATGCTAACAAAACAAATAGTGTCAATGGCTTATGTGTTTAGGTACCTCTTTCCTCTTATCTTTACTGATCCAGGCTATTTTTAAAAGTTATATCCAGAACATCTAATCTTTTCCACATATAATGCCCAATATTTTGCTCTTTCTCATAAGCTTAATCAACTGGCAGTTTTTTTTTTAATACAGATACCAGGTTTAATGTGCATTGACCTGAAAAATCTAAAATGTACTGGACCTACTGCTGCCATAAATTGCTTTCAGTTTTCATTGATGGAAACGGCAAACTAATATGCTTGTATTGCGTTTGTGAAAGTAACTTTTTTTTCTAAAATTATTCATTGTAGAAAATTTTAGCAAATACAAACTACCCTCTAGATATCCAGTGTTAATAGTATGATGTATACCTTTCCATCCTTCAAGACATATATGAATACAAGTGTTTATTTATGTCAAACTTTACACAAATAAATGTATGTAATAGTTTTATTAACATGAGCTTATTATAATGTGCTATTTCTCAATTCTTTTAAAATACCTACCCCTTTTTAATAAATACAAAAATTCATTCCTTGAGTTTCTGAAACCCTTTTTCTTGAGCTTGGAAAATTGGTCTTCTAGATTAAATTTATCTTATGACAACCCCATGAGCTCACAAGATTATCAGCATTGCTTTACATCATGAAAACAAAATTTTTACATTTTAAAATACAGTTTTATAGTTATATTTGCTTTTTCACACTACACATTTCCCTTCTAGGAATGTGTATCCTACTCTACCCACCACCAGTTAAGAATTACTGGTTTATTATTTATCACATCAAAGAAGTTCTCATTATTCATCCCATTTTGCATTCTTTCATGAAGTAGTGGTATTTCTAGGAAAAGTAGGGGACTTAAGCCTTTGGGGGAAGAACAGGTTTTAGCCTAACTTTTAAGTGTGCAAAAAACCGCTCCATCTCTCATTGCCTACCATATTATTTAATGACTTAGTGTTGTTGGGCTAATTTAATGGTGATGTAAATGGGAGGTGCAGGAAGTATGGAAGTGAACAGCTGTAATAAAAGATGGAGATAGAAAAAGTAAGGAAGCCAAGAGAAAGTGGAGCTGTCTGAATTTCCATCTGAATCTCTAATTTACTCCTAACACTCCTGCCAGTTCTCCCATCCTGGTAATAGGGAACTTAATTGTATTAAATTCTTAAATACAAAGAATATGGTATTTGAAAAGAGTTTAGAAAGTAGGAATTTCTTCTGATCAGGGAATTGCTAATTAGAGAAAACAGCTTTGAAAAGCTTGAAGATATAAAAGATTAAAATAGAAGAAATCTTCACATTTGACATCTTTAATAGAGACTAATGAAAATTATATGGTAAATGCTGAACTTTTGTCACTCACTCCGTATATGAATACATTCAAGCAAGGAACCCTCATTTTAGCTATAAGGAAATAGAATATTCATGTATTTTAATTAATTAAGTTTAGATCATATATAAAGGAGGTTGTCAAATAAGCTTTATATGAAAAGGTATGAAATCCAAAGATCTCTATGAATCATTAGCCATAGATCTTGAATAATTTTAGGATACTTCTGTTATGGGTTTGGATTTGAATTTTTGACTTGGGCTTTTTCTTTAATTACAAATAAATATTTGGATTTCAAATTATAGCAAATGGTATGAATAATGTTTTGATAATTATTTGCCTTTTAAAATCTTTTAATCCCCAAATTTTGTTTATTGAAGAACATGCATTCTCTTAGTAGTAATTCTCTTAAGTGGTCAAATAAGGCATTACTTGACTATTAAAAAAAAAATGAATCTTGGTGGGAGGTATTAGGATACTTTGATTGCAAGTCACAGGGACTCAACTCCTACTTAATTTAAAATGGAAACTTATTGGCAGATTTAACAATTTTAAAGATAAAGGATCAAGACTAAATGATTATATATAAATACGTATTTTATACTTTCTCCATCCCAGTCTAGACTTACTGTTCTTACTTTCCACATTCCTACCTTCCATTTCTACTCTCACTGTATATTTGTTCAAAACGTATATGAAAATGTCATAGTAATTTCTTTTAGGGTGATTTATTATTGCAATTATTGTTGGTTCACTGTAGATTAAATGTAGTCTCTTGATCTGCATGGGATTTCCCCTAAAGATTATTATTTGTGGATGAATGTTATTATATGTTACTAGAGTAAGACTGCATTTACTTTTTTAGATGAAAATGCTGAACACTTGTATACATAAATAAGTGGATAGAAATTTAAAGTTTTATTATAGCATTTCACTTAATTCTCTGAATTCCTGTGTAGTGGTGTCAAAAGTCACATTTGATTTAGCAATAAAAATTGGTTTTTTAACTGATTTATTAAGTGAGAACTCAGGCTGTTTTTCAATTTTGTTGAAACTAAAGAATTGCAAACTACCTGACTTAAAAAAGTATTTGTTAACGAGATATGGGTATCACTTATTTTCTCAACGCCTATATTGAGAAATTCAGTTTGTTGTTTTATTTACATCCTGGGAGGTTTTCACAGCTCAGGAGACGAGGCACTGTGATAGGGTTAAGGATGAATGAGAAGAATGTCTTATGTGAGGTGGGCAGAGGACCATATCAAAGAGAGGTAGAAAAGAGAGTCTGCACCTCCAGTATAAGAACAGAGAAGTTTTAGGAAAGAACACTGATGGAAATTTATTCCTTGAATCTCTCCATTGTGTCTATACCTCTTTAAAATCTTCATGGATAGGCAGACTCTAGTTTGAACCTGTGATATGGTTAATTATATAGAAGATGCCTATGACTTGCCTGATGGCACAGATCAGTTTTTACATAGCCTCCTTGATGTTAAGGTTTACATAGTGATGAGATTCCCTGAATGCTAATACTAGGAATAAAAAGAAACTCAAACATTTCAAATTATCTATTAGAACATTAGAAACTGTTTTTTAAGATGAAAACTTGTCTTTGTGTTTAAATTCCCATGTATTTTAACAGTGTTCATTTTTTAACAGGTGGCCAATATGTTCTACATTGTAGTGATTATGGCTCTTGTATTACTTAGTTTTGGTGTTCCCAGAAAGGCAATACTTTATCCTCACGAAGCCCCATCGTGGACTCTTGCTAAAGATATAGTTTTTCATCCATACTGGATGATTTTTGGTGAAGTTTACGCATATGAAATTGATGGTAAGGATTTAAGTGTACAGATTTATCTTTTAACTATTTTGTTTTAAAGTCATAATTACTTTATAGTAATATCACATATTTTCACAAGTCAAGCTGTTACTGACCTAAGCCCTCCAGCAATGCTTTAGTTGATCCCAAAAGAAACATAAAAATTAATTGAAAAAAAAGTATTTTAGAATATTTTTAGCTCTAAATAATGGAATCTGGCTTAAACTGGCTTACACAATAAGGGCATATATTAGCTCATATAACAGAAAGGGCAGAGGTAGAGTGGTCTTTAGGATTGGTTAATTCATAGCTAAGGACACCTATTCTTTTTTTTAAACTGCTCTGTAATCACGGTGTCTGATTCATACATGCTTTCTGGTTTTCCCTTAACAGTTATCAGACTCTGCCACTAGCAACTGGAGGAAAGAGAACTGTTTTCCATGGTTCTCTTCAGGGAGAAAAGCCCCTTTTCCAGACGTGCTGTATTGACCTATTTTTTCCTCTTGTTAGCTCACATTAGCTTGACCCTTCCCATTTCTGAAACAGGGTAAGGGTAATGGAATTACACTGATTAGTTTGGGCCAGTCACGTTGGATTGTATAAACTCTTGAATTGTAAAATTCAACTGTGAATACATTCTCTGCGTGAAGTAATAAATGTTTCTCTATGGTTTTAAAGAGACTAGATAACTTGACATAGGTGATGCTGCCAGCTTTCAGGGATGTTCTTCTGCTGACCTCCACATATGAGTTACAGAATCTTTATTTTGTTAGTTCACTCATGTTCTCTCCTGCTTTTTCTCTCTCATCATTCTTTACCCCATTCCTGTGTTACTCCTTACCCACCTGTTTATAGGTGATTAGGTCAGGGGATGGTTAAATAGTGGTTATCAGTTGTTATCAGATGTTGGTTAAAACAGTGAGGTTTTACCAGCCTGGTAAAAATTTGTGTTTAATAGCTTCCTGTTTGGTTATCATTTCCAAGTTTTTATTGTCTGCTCTTTTTCTGATGTGGCGCTAGTTATAAAGCATTGGATATAGTTTTGTAGTCTTCTGCATTCAGTTTCTCAGATATTTGCTTCATCAGATTAATCTGAATAGAATGGAAATATTCATAAAAATTTTTAAGAGTGAAAGAACCTTATGCATCAGTTTGCCCAGAAAACCATTTTTTTGAAAGGAATTATACAGCCATGATACTTTCAATGGTGTGTGTATATATACATATGTGTGTATATATGTATATATACTTACAAAACACCAGGTGCTAATAAGTGTATTATAAGTATCTGTATAAAGCCTATCACTAATTCATGATTATTTAATTCTAATCCTTGCCCTACTTGAATTGATTTTACTTTATTCCTAATAACTCTGTGGTAGGTATTAAAGCTCTTCCCTTTCTTGATTCAGCTATGTTCTGTCTTCGGCAACATTCCAGTTGAGGGTAATGAAAAACAAGGAATTCATTTGAGAGGCATTTTAACTATTCCTTCAACACTTTTGTGGCATAATCTCAACTCAGTAATCTTTATGTTTGTAAATTTACTATGAATTTACCATAGTCTTTTATGGTTCAGTTATTTTTCTTAACAACAATATGTGACTGAATCTGGGAATTTTATTCTCCTTAATGTTCTTCTGGCTAAACCGTACCTTGAAGGGTGGACATAATACAGAAGTATACTTTCTTATCTGGAATAGAATGGTAGAATAGTACCCACGGCCCTCACAAAATTCTTCTGGGTTGGAATACTTTTAAGTTGGTGTTTGTATGGCTGCATGCCCAGAAACTTTTGCTAGTATCTGTGAAACAGATTTGTGCATAATCAGAACTTCATTATGTAAGCAAACTTACATAAATATTGACTAGAAGTAGTAACTGGTAAATGACTGTATTTTAATTTTTTTTTTCTTCCTAAAGTTTGTGCAAATGATTCAGCTATTCATGGTATCTGTGGTCCTGGGACATGGTTGACGCCATTTCTTCAAGCAGTCTACCTCTTTGTACAGTATATCATTATGGTCAATCTTCTTATCGCATTTTTCAAGTAAGAATTTTATTCAGTTGCTTATTGTAATGAGATCATTTACTGTATGGTTCTCATTTTGAAGGAACTATACAAAGTTAAAAATATGAAGAATTTATTGAGGCTCAAACTACTAAAAATTTTTTTTTTAAATTACAAATAAGGCATGCTTTTCAAAATCACATTAGTTCTGAATTTGAGGCTTTATGTTTCGACATGCAGTTCTTTTATAAATTTAATCTTTGTTTGGGATTTCCTAACAGGTGGTCAGGGAATACATACTCAGTATACAAAACAGAAAGGCAAATAGAAAATTCTTCAATAATCCCATTCTTAATATTTTGGTGTACATCTTTTCTTTTTTATGAATATATATTAACCATTTTTTCTTTTAAAAATAATCTTTGTATATTTTGTATACTGTTTTTAACTAAGCAAAACATGAATATTACCCCACATTAATAAATGTCCCTCTCTAGTTAATTTTTAATAGTTGCCTGATATTACATGATATAGACCATAATTTTTAAGCCAGTATTATTTTAATTTATTTACTTACTTACTTATTTACTTACGTATTTATTATTATTGATGTGTAGTTGATTTACAATGTTATATTAGTTTCTGGTGTATAGCACAGTGATTCAGTTTTACATATATATTCTTTTTTATTATAGGTTATTACAAGTTATTGAATTAGTTCCCTGTGCTGTACAGTAGGATCTTGTTGTTTTATCTATTCTGTACATAGTAGTTGTATCTGCTTATCCCAAACTCCCAAATTATCCCTACCCCCCACCACCTCTTTCCCTTTTGGTAACCATAAGTTTGTTTTCTATGACTATCAGTCTCTTTCTCTTTTGTAAGTAAGTTCATTTGTATCTTTTTTTTAGATTCTATGTATAAGTGATATTATTTATTTGTCTTTCTCTGTCTGACTTACTTCACTTAGTATAATAATCTCTAGGACCATCTATATTGCTGCAGATGACGTTATTTCATTCTTTTTTTATGACTGAGTAGTATTCTTAAGTCAGTATTTCATATTGCTCAGTTAGATTGCTTATGATTTTTTGTTCCCAAAAACCACATTGTGGTTAAATTTTTTTAATCAATCCTTACACATTTCCTTAGTGTGTTTTCCTAAAAGTAGACCTATTCAATATATGTATTTTCAGGATTTTTTGCATTTAAGTCAAAATAAGCCCATGTCCCCAAATCTCTGCTAACAGTAGATATTATTATCTTTTAATGGTTGCTAATTTGATAGTATGTAAAAGGATCTTGTTTTTATTTGTACTTATTTTGTTACTTAGATTGAATATTTTCTTATGTTTTTGTCATTTATATATAATTTTAAAATCTTAAAATTTTCTGCTTATTTTTCTGGGAGTTTGTAATTAAGACTCTCAATAGTGTCAAACTTTTCCTTACACTTGTTGCATGTTTTGTTTTGTTTTGTTTTTGTCTTGTTTATAGTGGGGTAATCCTTTGAACCCTTGTTCAGAACAGAATTACAGTAAAATCTTTAGTATTTAAAACTTCAAGATGTGATTAGCTAAGTTTGTTTTATTTTTATTGTTATTTAAGCAATGTGTATTTACAAGTGAAGGCAATTTCCAATATTGTATGGAAGTACCAACGTTATCATTTTATTATGGCTTATCATGAGAAACCAGTTCTGCCTCCACCGCTTATCGTTTTCAGCCATATAGTTTCTCTGTTTTGCTGCATATGTAAAAGAAGAAAAAAAGATAAGACTTCAGATGGACCAAGTAAGTAAAACAGATGAAGGCCAGTGTTTTTATCACTTTCTGGTATTACACTGAAGGCTAAGTATTAGCTTTATTCAGATTTGTTATTGTTTGTTAATTTGTTAATGTTATTGTGAAGACTTTAGTTGAATTTGCTGAAACATAAAAGAATTTTAAGTATAATATAGCATCTATAAAAGTGAATTTAGTATTAAACTGTTTGGGTATGGCATCTCAATTTTTTTTTTGTAGAAAATGCTAATATAAATCGTAACTCTTGCTAGTCTACAAACCATTTTGGCTGCTCTGTAAACAATAACACTTCTAGTACATTCTACACACCACATGAGACTAATCAGACTGCTCTGAAAATTTTACAGTGGCTTACAGTGGCTTTCTATTCTACCAAATCAGTTCTTAAATTCCTCTACCTGGGTATGTGAGGGATAGATGGGGGAGGGTGTTTCATAGGAGACGGAAATTAGAAAAGGAAGAAGTACCTGAAACTATTCTGTGGATATCACACTGTGAATGAAGAAAGAAGTGGAAATACTTGTGCAGGACTTCAGAAGCACACCAATAAAAAGAGAAAAAGTGCTGATGATGTACATAGTATCTTCATTGATTTTTTTTTCTTTTTTCTCCTTAGAACTTTTTTTAACAGAAGAAGATCAAAAGAAACTTCATGATTTTGAAGAACAGTGTGTTGAGATGTATTTTAATGAAAAAGATGATAAATTCCATTCTGGGAGTGAGGAGAGAATTCGTGTCACTTTTGAAAGGTTTGGAAGCTGTTTAATTATAATTGATTTTATGTCCAAATGGGTTGTGCTAGTTATGGGCCTTATACATGGTCATTATTCCATTTATGTTTGTCAAGCAAGTCAGCTTAGTGATGGTTTTGCATTATGTATTGGGAGACAGTTTAGTTTACTTCAGGTGTTTCATGTAAGTCAGTAAGCCAATCTCTTGTTATTTTTTACCCTTGCTACAGAGAGCAGAAAAGAGTTAATGTTCTTTACTAGTAGGTAGAGAAGATTAAACCTGTCTTCATTTTAAAACATTTGTTTCTTTCCATCGGCTCTGCTACATTTTAAAAGTGTATGGTGTTTGTGTAGTTATGGTAATGGTGATAGTAGATCCATGTGTATGTAGCTGTATACACACACATTTTTTTGTATTAGTCTGATGTGGGAAAATTGGAATAAATAGCTTGTGGCACAAAACTGTTTTGAAATCTTGAATTTTTGTTATAATAAAGTTAGCACTGGATCCTTCTTTAACATAAAGGTGTGCCTTGTATAAATGAATAATCATACCGTATTTTATATCTTACCTTTTTTAAAAGTGCACGTCAAATTCTTTTTACAATTATCATTTATTGAGATTACAAAAAGAATTTCTAAAACATTAATTTAAAAAAAAATTTTTAATGGAGGTACTGGAAATTGATCAGGACCTCATGCATGCTAAGCACACACTCTTCCACTGAGCTATACCTCCCCCCACTAAAACATTAATTTTTAACATTTGTAAAAAGCTTGTGTTTCTCTTACAGAGTGGAGCAGATGTGCATTCAGATTAAAGAAGTTGGAGATCGTGTCAACTATATCAAAAGATCATTACAGTCATTAGATTCTCAAATTGGCCATTTGCAAGATCTTTCAGCACTGACTGTAGATACATTGAAAACGCTCACTGCCCAGAAAGCTTCAGAAGCTAGCAAAGTTCACAATGAAATCACACGAGAATTGAGCATTTCCAAACATTTGGCTCAAAACCTTATTGATGATGGTCCTGTAAGACCTTCTGTATGGAAAAAGCACAGTGTTGTAAATACGCTTAGCTCCTCTCTTCCTCAAGGTGGTCTTGAAAGTAATAATCCTTTTCTTTGCAATATTTTTATGAAAGATGAAAAAGATTCCCAATGTAACATATTTGGTCAGGATTTACCTGTTATACCCCAGAGAAAAGAATTCAGTTATCCAGAGGCTGGTTCCTCTTGTGGTGCCTTATTCCCAAGTGCTGTCTCTCCTCCAGAACTGCGACAGAGACTCCATGGGATCGAAACTTTAAAAATGTTTAGTAAAAATCAAAAATCAGGCAACTCATCTAATAGCATACCACATCTATCAACTCCACCAACAAAACTTTTTGTTAGTACACCATCCCAGCCAAGTTGCAAAAGCCACTTAGAAACTGTAACCAAAGATCAAGAAACTATTTGTTCTAAAGCTGCAGAAGGAGATAATATAGAATTTGGAGCATTTGTAGGTAAGTTTGGCAAACTGATATTTGTGTATCAACATTATTTACTTTTTAATGATAATTATCACCTTAGAAATAAAAATAAATGGCTGATTAATAAATCATGTACTTGTGTGACAAGTGGACTACTTTTTCATGGAATGTAGTTCTAAATTTCTTTAAAGGAATCAGAAGTGGGGGGGAAAGGTTGGATTGAGTTGTAATAATTAAATTGGCACATACCTCTGCTGCAGTTGACTGTAGTAACAGATCTATGGAAAACTTAACTTGGATTTTGTCTTTTGAGTTTGTAGATAGTCTCTAATTTGATCAACTTTTGTTGAAAGAACTTGAGTGATTCATAAATGTTACATTTATAAAGGTACAAGGGAGGCTAGAAGTTACTGGGAAAAAGCATTGTCTTACAAGTAGGGTGCCCATACAGTTTTTCATCTAAACCAGTAAACTTTTGAGAATGATAGGGTGTACTACTAATATTTATATTAGAATAGCAGGAAAAGCCAAGACTCTACTTAGAAAATGAGTATTTATGGACGACTCATTTATATACCCAGAGAGGAGAGCATTTCAGAAGGGAATGATTCATTCTTTCATCTCAGCTAAAGTAAAAGAAGGACTGAAAATATATTTATTTTGGCAATGATAACATATTAATGACCTTGGTGAAAACTGGAAGTGGTAGAGGGGAAAGCCAGATTATAGTGAAATAAAGTACAGATGGAAGGAGGGAATGTAAAGAGGGTGACTGAGGAGCAACTCAAAAGCTTGGCAGTGAAGGCAAAAAGAAATAACTATGACTGAGGGAGTGACTCTTAAAAGCTTGGAAATGAAGGCAAAAAGAAAGAAATAACTATAATTGTGATTCTTATGTTTAAGGTTTTTTAATTTGTTTTGTTTTTAATGACAATAGAGACTTAAGCATATTTCAATGCTGACAGTATGCCACATGGAAGGAAATGGTGAAGAGGGAATGCTTCATAGAGCTAGCTAAATCCCAAATATTTGGGCAACTATAATGTCCTAACAGTCTTTCTGTCAGATTATTAAAGTATTTAATAAAGAATTCTTAGAAAACAATTTTGTTTGTTTGTGGGCATAACCAGAATATTCCAAAGTATGAAGAAGGTCCTCTGTCTCTTCTAGTTTGAATTTTCCCATGGCTTTCTAACCTTGTCCATAACACTTTTTTGAGTCTTCCCAGCCTAGAAATTTACCTAATTATGGAACATGTATAGAGATCATTCAGAGAATATGTTAAGTCCATGTAAAATCTCCACATTAGGGCCAACGCTGTAAGTTATCTGGGTACTGAGCATGCTCATCTTTACTTCTAGGCGATGAGAGTTCACTGTGGATTTACAGAGATAACTTTCCCTACATAAAATCTATCCCAATTTATTTTTAAAAAACACATTTTAGCTTGTTTGTTAATATATTACCACTGGGATAGAGGTGTATATATGATATATCTATATTTATATGTAATATGCATATGTTACATGTGTAATAAATGTATATAGTGCTTTTATAATTTTATTGATAATAAAAATGAATGCTCTTCCTTTTTTATTTTAAATTTCAAGCAGTTCACTTTATTATCACATGTTGGATTCTTTTAGGATCCTGTTACTGTAAACTGAACTACTCATCTCCAGCTTTTTGACAGGTATTTTCAGTATTTATCAAAAGAGCTACAGGAAACTTCAGAACGATCAAAACTACTTACAAAACAACATAAATCACTTGTTTGAATAGAATAGGCAATGAGTTATTTTGATTTAAAAAATTTTTTGTTGTATTTTTTTTCCTTTTCAAGGACACAGAGATAGCATGGATTTACAGAGGTTTAAAGAAACATCAAACAAGATGAAAGAAATGTTATCTGTAAGTAAATCCTTACCACAGCACAATTCAATTTTATTTTGCTGTTTGGAGGTTTAGTACAAAATAGAATTTAAAAACACTTCTTTTTTTTGTTGTAAAATCACAGTTTTAACATGATGATCCCAAATATTTGAAGCTGTATGCAGTTTGAAAAAAAAAAGAAATAATTGAGGAATATGAAAAAATGTACAAATAGTTTGTATTTTTTTAACTAAAATAAAAAGATCACCTATTTAACATTTCTCTTTTTAAAAGTGCTTTTCCTTGTATGCTTTCCACTGACTAAATACTTCTTGAGTTCAACTCTTTCACAGGCCCAAAAGTTCACTAGGACATAACCCTGGTCCTCAAGGAACCTGTGGTCTAGCAGTAAAAACCTGAATATGCCAGTAACTACAATATAATATACAAAGTGTAAAAGAAGTTCAATAAATGTTGATTAAATGAGTTTTAAGTCTGTAGAACATCTAGCAGAAAGGTGTGTTTCCTGGCTGAAAATTAGTTTTTATTTCTTAACTGCTGCTTTCATAAGTTTCCCATAACTATGTAGAGCCTGAAGGGAACATCGTAGTTACACCAACATAATTAAGAGGGCCTGGGAAAGTGCTAAGTTTCTCCATCCCCTAAGAACTCAAGTTGTGGAAATGATTAAGTGATAAATACAATGGAAATAAAGCTTTCTTAAAATGAAAGCCAAAGAAGTGATAATGACATAAAATGTAGTTAATTACATAATATCTATGAATGATTATTTATCATATATGATCCTTAGTTAATTGTGTAATTGCTGTCAGGACATATTGCTTATTGTCTTACATTGAAACAGTAGACTCAAGTGCATTTTGATACTATAAATACTAACATTTGTATTTTTAATAGCATATATTCTGATTGAAGTATTTTACTTAAATAAATAAATAAATAAATAAATAAATAAATAAATAAACAAACCTAATCTCCCCCACTCCCTGCCCCAGTCTTGGGTTCAGTCCCCAGTACCTCCATTAAAAATAAAAAATAAAAGAATGAAGTATTTTACTAAAGTGAATAATTTAATGTCTATTAACTAGATTTTGTTAACTTGGGATTTAATTAGTGATTATATGGAAAATGAGATTTAATGATTATATGAGGATCTCTTTCTTTTCATATTTGCCTTTAAATTTCTTGCCTCAAATAGGGCCAGGAGAATGTTGTAAGAAATACGATTGTGGAGTATTCAGAGATGCCTGCTTATCAGGTAAAGTCTCTTTAGTACATGTGGGAGTCAGAAACTCAACTTGAAATATGCATATTCCTTTAGATGTAGGAAGTAGATATTCAGTGAACTTATAAGAGTATAATTTGCGTGATATTTTCTAACCACTTTTAAAAGTTGTGGAAGGATAAGTAGCAATTTTAACAGACAAAAGTGCATTTCAGGTAGGAGCAACATGAACAGTAGTGAAGCAAAGCCAGAGGATATATAGAATATGGTAAAGCAAATGTTACTTTGACCAGTGAACAGGTTCATCACCTGAGGAAGTTGTAGGAAATACGGCTGTAAAATAATCCAGGATTAGGGTAATTTAGAAGTATATTTATTTGTCACATGATCACACCTAATTGTAAAGGAGGCGTGGAAATGTAATTTAGCTGTTTGAAAAAAGTAGGGGAGATTACATTTTGCTAGACCATTTGTAATCTGTGCCACAGGACTAGATGGATAGATGCTTAAATAACAAGTGAAATATTTTTTAAAAATTTCTTTGATCAGAGAAAGAAGCCATTGGAGATTTTTCATTATCCTTATCAAACCACTAATCCAGCAAAATGTACAGCATGAATTGGACTAACCATAGACAGAAAGCTTTTTAGAAAGTTTTGATCATAATTCAGGAGAGAAGTGACATGATCTTGACGAAGACACATGGAAATGGAAAGAAAGAAGCTTCTAGACACTGATAATAGTGACTACTGTAGCACCATGTATAGTAATAGTTAAATTGGAAAAAATGTGATTTAGTGTGGGAGGGATTAGGTTCTGTTTAAAATAATTAAATGTGATTCGAGACTTGCAGATACTAACTACTATATATAAAACAGATAAATAGCAAGTTTATACTGTATAGCACAGGGAACTGTATTCAATGTCTTACAACTTACTGTTAAAAAGAATATGAAAGTTTATGTATGTTCCTATATGACTGAAGTATTGTGCTGTACATCAGAAATTGACACAACATTGTAAACTGACTATATTTCAGTAACAATATATTTTAAAAATAATAATAATTAAATGTGAGAGAACAGTAAGCCAATAAGGTAGAAATATCAAAATGGTAGTTGAAGAAGCAAGACTACAGCTTGAGAGAAAATTCAAGATCAATGATACATACTGGCGTATCTTCAAAAGAGAGAAAGTCAAGTTGAGAAGTAAACCTGAGCTTCAGATGCTTCCCATATCTTAGAAATTAAGAGGAGAAAAAAGGTACAGTAAAGTAGTATTCATAGAGGTAGCAGTTATCATGATGTAGAAATAGTCATCACAGAATCAGTGCAGGAGAATTTCAAAAAGAGAATGTCTAGGAGAATAAGACCTTAGACCCCTGAATTAGGATGCCTGCATGAATGCAATTTCAGTATACTGGAGGATGCAAAATAAAAATTGTGGCAATTGTAAGGGAATAGAGGAGTCGACCTCACTATAGATTCAACAGTAACAAGATGGTTCAAGAACTTGAATGAGTAGCAGAATTGTTAAAGGCTTTGTTGTTTTCTTAATTGGCTTAGTAAATAAGAAAGATTTATGAATGTTTTAAAATGAGGGAGAGGAACCAGTAGGGAAACCAAGGGCTTTTTTAAAAAGTTGTATTGTTACATCTTCGAGTTTCTTGAAGGGAAGGAGAGCTGACTGGAATTATAATTGAAAAGGCACGAAGACACAGATGGAGTGAAATCAGACACTCAAAGGTGATGATCTTAGGAAGAAAATACAACTTCTTTTGAGGCAGAAGGACTGAAAGAGAGGATTGTCACACAGATATTTAGAGCTTGAAAGAAATAGTCCTAAAACTCTAAGCTATCATTTTATCACTTAAGATCTGTGTGACTTATTGTATATAAATTATACAAATTAAAAAAATTAGTTCACTGATACTTTTTTTTTAAGTGTAGTTAATTTATGTTTCAGGTGTACAGCAAAGTGGTTTATCTTAGATAGATAGATAGATAGATTCTTTTTCAGAAAATTTTCCATATGGGTTATTACAAGATACTGAATATAGTTCCCTGTGTTGTACAGTGGGTCCTTGCACTGATATTTTTAAGGCATTTTTCCAGTAAGACTGATGGGAACTGGGGTGGAGAACATGAGATAGACAAGGCCTAGTTAAAGTAATCATTGTGTGAAGTTGTTAAGGAGTCAGGAGAAAACAAAGAGTATGATTTCTCAGCTACAGAGTGAAAATAGCATAAATTTTTACAAGCTATATAAATACCTGGATTTTAGCCAGGAAAAATACCTTGAAGCCCATCTATCAGTTCCATATTAGAATTTGTCAGAGATGGTTCTATGAAATTGTTGTGTCATTGCATCAAAGGGTATATATAAAGGAAAATACTTAAATAAAGCAAACAAGAAATAACTAGAACTGGTTCCAAAAGAAAATCACTAAAATCTGAAAGGAGTTGCTTTGTGACTACAGAAAAAAGGTTATTAGCATTTTCTCTTGTCCAAATAATCATCTGTAATGTGAAGAGTGTGAAGCGTCAGAGGTAGAAAAGCTTAAGTTTCTTGAGATATTAGTTATATTTATTTAATGAAAGTAATAGCTTATTGTGGTAGTAACATTTAAAAAATTTTTTAAACGTTTTTTTATTGAGTTATAGTCATTTTACAATGTTGTGTCAGATTCCAGTATAGAGCACAATTTTTCAGTTACAGTTGAACATACATATATTCATTGTCACATTTTTTTTTTCACTGTAAACTACCACAAGATTTTGCATGTATTTCCCTGTGCTGTATGGTATAATCTTGTTTATCTATTCTACAGATGCCTGTCGATAGTAACATTTCTGACAGTGGGTAGAAGTTTGGAAATATTTTAGAGATACGTAATAGCATGACCTGTTTATAGCTAAAAAAAAGAAACAAGATGAAGGTATTGGTTCTTCTCTATTAGTTTCATGAAATTAGTTCATCTGGAAAAATGAATAACTAAAAGGAAGAAAATGAAGGATAATTAGCTATTACAGACTAAAGTATCTATATAGGTAGTACAGTTGAAACATAAATATTTAGTGAAACATTTTGGTGACTCTGAAATTGCTCTTCTATAAATAAGAATTTAATAAGGATTGGATTAGAAATTGATGAGAAAGGGAATGCTTTGTCTGTAAATACAAATTGGACAACTGCGTAGAAATTTGGAAACATCTTTTTATGTTCTCATATCACTTCATAAGCTCAGATGAATTCAAATCATCACTCAAGAAAATAGAAATATTAAGTCAGTAAAGCCAGGAGGGTTTTTTAAACAGGTATCAAGAGAAGGTTGTAAAGAGACGAGTAACTAAAAATATGAAACACAGACAAATCAAAACAAATCTGAAAAAAAATTGAAATTTGACAAATGATGATCTGATAGATCTTTGTTATACAGATAGCTTATACAGGTCAACAAGAAAGCTATCAAGACCCCCAAAAAGAAATTGCCCCTCCACTCCTTTACCCTCCGAATTGTTGTTACCTCTGTGTCAGTGTTAGTGTAGAGGAGTAGTTTTTTTCTTTTTTTAAAGTAATACGTGTTCGTAGCTTTATTTTTCATTTTTTAATACATTTTTCCCCATTCCATAGTATGTATGTTCTATGATTTAATTCTCCATCCCTTTACTGATAGGTC